TGAAATAACATCGACCACCCTGGTTTCGGCATTCGGATTACAGTTTATCAGTGAACCATGGATTGCGCTCGATACTCGCTTACCGAAACCGGGTGAGTGAGAACGTCAGGCATTGCATCACGAACGACTGCTAGAATAAGAACCAAAGCCTGCCAAACACGTGATAAGAGGAACGACGACGCCAGACATGCGGCTCACAAGTGGAAGCCGTCCAGGATTGGAGAACAAGTTAAGGTATGGAATAACGATCAGCCAGGTCATGGCCGGCCAGGTGCGAGCAAGTTCAGGGAATGTTGGAGAGGCCCATACACCGTATTGGATCAGAAAGGAACAAACTTCCAACTCGCCAATGGAGGAACGAAACGCTGGGTAAATGCCGCCCTTTTACGACCATGGTAGGGGAGGGAAAAACAATTTCGAGATGGGCGGGATTAGCGAGGTGGAAGCCAAAGACCGCTGGGGAACTGGAAAGACAACAGAAAAGGGGTATTATGGAATTACCAACGGGCGCAATAGATGGGACGAGACAAGTCAGTGCGATCCTTACGGATCGAGCCTACAGCGGATCACGAGTGAAGCTTGGTAACGAGTCTGGGCCCAGAACAACGGTAGAGGTATTTGTCGAGAACGCAGTGAATCAGACAAATACGCCGCTAGCGAAGCCCAAAAGACTGAACGCGGACCGTGATACAGCCACGGGAAAGCAACCTGCGAGCTTTCGAACGACTCTCGGCTGGTCAGAATCGGATATAGCGAAGCAGAGATACGGGCTGAAAACATGGGGAAATTGTTCTCAGGCTCAAGCTCGTAAGGCACGCGGTATGGCTCGTCTCCCGAATCGTCATCCGCGGTGCGTCGTGGGAAGGAAACACGGTTCATACCTGTAAGGGTTTGCGAGTGGTCAGTTTGTGCATTGTTGTGGCAATACACACTTTGCCCCCCTTCCCACGTCGTTCTTGCTACAGAAGGATGAAATTTGTATTGTGTAAGGTGTAATTTTGTGTCACATTAAACCATTCATTGTGTGAAATGTCAAATGGAACTTTGATCAGTTCGATCCAACGAGCGCCTTAACAGGGCTCCTAATGAGTCAATGACCGCCAACACACTACGAACTCGAGTCAGTGGTTTAAGCGTAGAGGCTTTGTTCAGCATCCCCAGTGTCCCGGTTTCGAGTCACAGTGAGTAAACTAGTATTGGACTGGTCGTAGAATGCAATCTTGCCAGCATTTACCACTAAACAGTACTACGGTTTAGTGTAGTATTTGCATCTGCTGATACAACCTGTCATCCTTTATTCGCTTAAACGCTTCCACTGAGCTATCGCGCTCTCAGCAGCTTAACTGAACAATTGAATACCGGGATGGTTCCGCATCTCAATCAAAATAAATACGTATCCGTCATGGTGTCGTTCTGCTTCAGTTCGTTGAAAACAGGCTTCAAGGCTCAGAATGGAGTGGAATTCTGCAGCTGTGACACTTTAGCACCGTACGGTACAGCTGCATGAGCCAAGAGAAAGTTGGAGCTGAAAAACACTTAATCCACCCTTTTTCAAGGCAGAGAAAGAAGGTGTTGGAATTGTTACCTTCAGACGCAATACAGTACACACATAAAAAACATACGCAGTTAAGTCAGTATAGCTCCTTACAACACAGAGTTTATACCATAACCAGAGTGTACTACATAATTGGCATTAAAGCATGTTGCATCCGTGCACACGACACAGGACGATGCTTCTTTTATCATTGATGCTTCGTTTATAGCTGACAGTTTAGGATCTATTGCGCAATAAAGTCCTGAAGGAGTCAGCAGATTAGATATGGCAACGAGTCTTTATAAGTTTCTTGGTGATGAAGGATTCTAGGTGCTGCCACCTCGAATGGTGACGAAACGTCTGTAATCAAGTTGCTCAGCTCGGCGAACACTTCAGGTTCTGGCTAATTGCATGTTCCACTAAAGTTCGTTGTAACCGCGACGGCTTCAACCACCTTGAGGTGTATTCTTCTCTTATTTGAGCTAGAGGATCAGTTCCGACTATGTAGGCGTCACCACAACTGCGAGTGAAATGTTAGGCAAGGTGAGAGGCCAACTATTATTGGCGTACATGAGCTCATTTCGGCCTAATCAGATAGATCTGCGTTTCGCATATAAAATGAGTTGATTACTTTGGCAAGGTACTCAAAATATTTCGGATGACGTGCTGTGCTACGTTAGTCAATAAAACAGGTATTGGTGCTGCGGTCGGGAACTTATTGAACAGTTCAGTGAACGTTGGATCCCGAATGGAGCTAGTTGACTTCCGTTGATTAGATTTGAGTTGCCTATATTGCTGTAAGATGAAGATGAGTAACTCTGGATAGAAGTAAACATAGCATAAGCTTCCGGTAGGGCTGGTGGGAAATATTTGAAGAAAAAATGATCAGCATGTTTAACAGAATTCAAGAGAAGCAATTAATGACGCATGTCTGCTCTGTTGTGGATTAACTATGCGGTGGGTTTCATTGTTAACTGCTTCTTACTTGGATCCAAATGATTTTCCCTACTCCTCCTGGTCGAAATGATTTGACTGCAAGGTACTTCACGAAAGCAGCCATGAAGTCTTGGGTGAGTTGTGCTCAGTTGGCTATGGTACAGCACTATACCATCTCCAGAGTGCGTTAGAATGGTGATAGCATGTGACCACATCATAGAAATCACTGCGATACGGTAAACCGCTTTCAACGACTGGAGGAGTTTTCCCTAGAAGAACAAGCCGGATTTCGTCCAGGCCGCGGCTACATCGACCAAATCTTCACGCTTCGGCACATTCTCGAACTTCGTCACATCCACCGGCGGCCAACAATCGTAGTATTTTTGGACATCCGAGCGGCATTTGATTCAGCAGATAGATCTGCGTTGTGGATCTGTTTACTAAAGAAAGTTGTGCTCGACAAGTTTGTAACTATCCTGAAAGAACTTTACAGTCACACGTCGGGCAAAGTCAGGGCTTACGACACTCACTCTTCTTCATTTGTTGTGACCAGCGGTGTTCGCCAAGGTTGCCGTATTTCACCTTTCTTCTTCAATTTCGCTATCAAAGATGTTCTCCATAGAGCACTGGAAGATATCCAGGACTGCGGTGTTGAGCTCCTCCCTGGAGACAGAGTCATGGACTTGGACTAGGCCGATGATATCGCCTTGCTGGGGGACGATCCACAATCCGTCCAGAGCGCTTTGGACAGCTTAGCGATGGAGGCGTCTAAGTACGGCTTATGCTTCATGCCGGGAAAATGTAAAACGCTGCTCCAGGACTGGTAGGTGCCTGAACCCGCGCTCACCATTGCTGGACATGTTCTGGAGCAAGTCCCTTGTTTTACTTATCTAGGGAGTTGCATCACGGCTGGTTGCGGTGTTGGAGATGAAGTCTCACAACTGATTGTATTCATCAAACTGAGACATCTATGGCGTCATCGTGATGTCAGTCTCAAGCTCAAGGGCAGGGTGTACAATGCTTTCGTCCGTGCAGTAGTCTTGAACGGCTGTGAGACTTGGCCTATTCGCTCGGAAGATATGAAACGGCTGTCAGTCTTCGACAATCGCTCTCTACGAGGGATTGCTCGGGTGTGGTGGCAACACTACGTAAGCAAAGCAGACGTGCGGGACCGCGTGCTTGGGGCGAATACTGTCAATCTTCTGGATGCTATTCTCCGACGTCGCACGCGTTGGCTCGGGCACGTTCTGCGCATGCCAGCCCATCGCCTTCCACGTCGAGCATTATTTGCACTCCCAGGGAGCGATTGGAAAAGTGTCGCGATGGACAGCCAATGACGTGGAGAAGGAGCATGAAGAAGGCAACCTTTGGCGACAGTCGGACCAGTCCGTCTTCCAGGTTGGGGAACACGCGATGCTGAATCGCAGTGGTTGGAAACATTACACGTCATGACCCGCAACAGACATCAGTAGCGTCACTGTTGTTCTGCCATTTTACCATCCATTTGATGCACACAAAAAGTCACAAAACAAAACAACAAATAAAAAGAACGTGTGGAAAACCGAAAAATCGGTTCTCATATTTCTTAATCGCAGTTCGTGTTCCCATCTTCCCTTTTTTCTTTTCTGCCATGGTTCTGATGGCACAATGTCTGTTAACAGACTGTGAATAAATATATATAATATATATTAACCTGAAGAGAAGCACAATGTAGGCGAACTGCGGTTGCTCAAGCCGACGCGATCACTGCTTGGATCATATTAAAATATCAACGAAGAGGGGTAGTTTTTCCATTTTCCATACAATTTCATTTGTAGCTAGAGAGAGCTATGTGACACGCACTGACAAAAGATTTAATGCCTACGCAAAACAGAGAAGACTTGAATTGATAAACCGAGCTGTTTCGGCAACCCCAGGGTTCTGGCGGTTAATGTTCTCTAGTCGACCCCGATGAGTCGTTCACTAGCCAAGCCTCGGAAAAACAAAAACATCGCCCCTTCTCGACGTTGATTGCGGTAGCACGAATCCCACCAATTCAGCACCGTTAGCCACCATTCTGCTCTGGGATATCGTTAATTGTAGGAAATAACAGAACCTTCCCGCAAGTTGCATCTTCTGATCATCTTAGGTGAAGGTACAAGGGATGCACTTGTTTCGGACAGCAAACATTGGTCAAAACAAATGTACCGTCACGTGGCTGTCGATGCGTTGGAGTTCATAGTATACCGCTTGTGTGACGAGCTGCAAGTAGGTATATGTGTGCATAAAAACATCAGCTAACCGATAAGTATGAGCCTAGTACGTTAGATTACGTAAGGCGCCGCAAAATTAAGGATTTGATGTCGAAATCAAGCTTTAGAGTGGGACCTAACAGAATTTTATATCCAATGGATTTGCTTGAGTTTTGAGAAATAATATATGTTGTCTGCTGTTTTGTTATCGCTTTTACGCCCTGTGGCATTATTTTCTGAAACAAGCTCCAAAGATCTAGAAGGCTCACAGCGTCTCGATTGCAGAGCCATGCACTCACCGTTGACATCTTCGCCACTCGGCTAGTTCCCCGTGTTATTTGATGTTGATGATAGCAGAAGTGTTTCAAGGACATTGCGTTCTGGACATTCCGCACATGGCACTCATTCTTTCCGTGATTTGTTTCGGCAGGTAGTTTGTATGCTGCAGATGTGCGGCACTTTGCTACGGGGCACCGTGGCACTTGGCGTTGATGATCCACACCGACCACTGCCGGCCAAGAATGAACGAAGGGTTCGGAATCTCGGCGTTTGAAAGAACGTGAGCCCACATTCAGCCACTTGTACTTGGAATGAAGAATTAAAGAACCGAGGTGAAATGCCTAATTGAAAATGTGCCTCCTCAACGCAAGTTGCTTAATCTATTTGTCTTTTGCAACGATTTACAAATAAATCTAGTCGTTCTGATCAGTGGACAAAAAGTCAGATTTGTAGGTTGAAAGTGAGCGAACCTTGCCAGTCGACCATTGAAAATGAGCATGAAACAAATTGTAAAGTGAAATAGTGGGAGCAGATAATGACCGACATTTATGTGGCACAACTCATTCGTTAGTAAGCGGTAAGCGACAGAATAGTTAAAGTGGCTTCGGATTACGAGAAGAAACAAAGTAGACAGCAGCAAGCCTTCCAGATAAGGATCCTACCCCAGTCGTAGAACGTCAGTTCCCCCAAAAGAAGTTTGCAAAAAATTTGGTTCTGCAGTTACAAAACGTAGCTAATGTACACAACAACCCATCGCAGAATAGTATACGAACGAGATGAACATCCACCTGATGCGGAATGCATTCCTGTTGACTGAGCATTGAAAACTTAAGAACAATGCAACATTAGCTAATGCAACGATAGTTTATGACAGATAAAATGTTCGTTCTTAACAGGTTCCGTAGGCTAATCAGGAAAAGAAGTGCAAAATGAAAGAATACAACGGCAAGCACTAAAGAATATGTATTATCAAAAGGATAACAATGCATTGGAAACAAATCCATGATAATGAGATAGTACCATGAAAGACGGAGTATCAGGTTATTGTGGCTTATCGTAAAAGATATCCAGACAGCGCGCCCTCTTGAGACGATTTGTGTGCATCAGTGTGGATCATAACTCCAAACATACAAATTCACAGCAAACTTTCCAGATTATGGGGTTCATGTAATAAGTTCCCGGGAGTTGAGTGCGATGTTCAAACACTATTGGAAGTTGGTTAAGGTGGGGCACAAACAAAGGAGTTTGGAAGAGTATTGCAAGGGATATCGGGCCCTGTAAATGGGCCGTTGCTGTTTCTCCATGAAGTATCATGGTTTAGCAATTTTGTCGTGCTAATCTCACATTTCTGCTTATCTGGAAAATTTTGAGGTCAGCAACGTTATCCTACTCTGCCGTCTTTTCAAAATGGTGCTGGGACTCCACGCGAGACGCACCACGTGTCGCATGCGGTTACGAAGTGTGAAATACCATAAACGAGTTTGCCAACAACGCTTTCGTAAAATGAGAAAGCACCGTGCTGGCTGGCAAGCTGGACTCAGATGTTGTCCTATTAATAAAGCGCAAATTCCGCCAATTCTCTCTAATAAATTGTGAGCTCTCTACCTGATAAGCTTACTGACCTCAGTACCATTATACAAGAATATGGAAAAGTAAGTGATATGCAAGCGCGGGTATTATAATGCTACAAGAAAGTTGGTTGCATCCTGAAATAGACGATAAGGTTATTCAACTTGATCGATACCGCGTCTTGACGCCTTACAGCACTTAAAAGCCGCCGAATCTTGAAAAAAACGTTGTCTCTTATGTCAATCAATTGTTGTGTGGTTCGGTTGCTTTGCCGTGTACATACTCGACATCAAAAATTTACTGCTATTTATTCGAGTGTAGCTGAAATTTCCGAGTGAATTTTTTCCGTCGTCATCGGAAACATCCACATAGCCTTGGATACAACATTGACTAAGCTCAAAGCTCCTGAGGATCATGTCTCACCGGAGTTGCTGACTAAAATTATGTGCTGTCTGTATTGTTACTTGTGACTAAGAAAAGTGATACGGCATCCATCAAGACAATTGGTATAAAAAATACAGTATCTTTCGAAGCCAGACGACACACGGTTGGATCTCGCTTTCAAAAACAAACAGTTGTTTTCTACTTTAAAACGGACTCCTCCCAGCAATTCAGACCACTGCATAGTCATTTACAGTAAAACCAATGCTGTCGTTGACAAAAGGGCGCTTCAAAATCATCAGCCCTCGATACTGTACGGCAACAAATTTCCCGAAGCTCCAGTCGACGCTGAACTCAAAGGACTTTCCAGTTTTCACGGACGAAAACCTATCTGGGGAGTGCGAACATTTTACCGGATGTATCGATTTCTGCTACGATCTATGTTGCCCCGTTGAAACTATCTATCCAGACATGGACAGACTCTCTTCGCCGATACTTTGAAAGAACGCGCTTATACATGCAACAGGTGTGTCCAGGTTAAACTACTATCTGGCAATAAAATCTGAGAGTAAAAGAATGACTGGTTTGTAGGGTAGACCGCGGCAGAAAATAACGCGATGCAAGTTGCAACAAAGCTTTTCTCGGGATAATAACCGACAAATACACCGTTCGTTTTCTACACCGAATATGCGACTGCGTATGCCGGGAGTTCCCACGTTACCAGCAAGGTAGGATTTGCAACATCTGGAGTGACAGAAAATTTTTTCATTTTTCAGGCCTGATGAGTAAAAATATGCATTCTTATATATCGTACCATAGACACTTTACTTATCAGCCGATTAGTTCCAGCTTTTACACTGGCTATCATAATCCCTTTTCTTTCAAGAATCTGTAAAGTGTTGTGTTGTGCGTGCGTTTGTCATGTACCGCTGTTGTTAAATGACCGGGGTAGGGGCTGGGAACATTGTAACATGCAAGGCAGGGCACGTTGTAACCTAAATGTATTTATTGCAAAACAATGTATAACCCAGTGCCAATATTTTCAGGTATATGGTGAGACACTAAAAAAGCAAAACTAATAGGTTACCGTACTCAAGAAAAGTTTCATGCTGTTGCTTTTGAAGTTGGTAGAGGAAATCAATAAGAGAAACAGCAAGAGCTCACCATTCGTGTCATATCCCTTTGTCTCGATACATGAAAAATAAGTCTTGTATAGAGACCCCATCATGTGGTTACGTTGTAACGCTGTACCCGCAATCGACCGGTTGGTTCATGTCCCCTAGTAAATCTGCACCCTTACTCCTGATCTGCTTGACGCTTTGGCAAACCCGACAGGAATGAAAACAGAAGAAGTCTCAGCCGATCAGATTTCTATTAGAACCGAGAACACTCACATTTACAGGTTGGTCTTACCAATCCACTAAACACCACCTGGCGGATTTGGCTGCCTGTCTTCCTGGTACGCCCACGCTCCACACTCGACTGTCAGCTCCGTCTGGCCAGTTCACCGTCTTGCTCGGGCACGCCAGGCTTCCTCCGCCTACTCGGGGCATGGCAACGTACATGAAGTCTGACGCGCGATTTCATCAGCTTCTGATGAGACCTTGGCAACACGCATGATGTTTGATGTGCGATTTTATCAGTATTCGGCTTGGCCGTGGCAACACGCTCGCGTGTTCTGTCCTAAGCACGCTTTGTGGGGAACACGCGTGCGTTGGCAATCGGCTTTCCCGTCCACCTGTCTGGTCCCAGCAAACATGCCTAACTGTCCACTACAGAACTAGAAAGCGTATTGGCCAACTACATTTGAAAAATCTCTGATTTACATTTTGACTTAACATGTCAGGAGGCAAAATGCTAGCTTGCCAGTGCACATTGAAATTTGGCATTCAAATTCCTGAATCATGAGACACTAACAAATGTGCTGGAGAGGATTAGCTGCAAAACTTTCGTAGGGGGCATAGTATTTCTTTGAGGACAGCAGAAAACACTAGTCCTGCAAGTGTCATTGGTTTCAATCGTCCTGCAGTCAATATATTCTTCGATAATTTATTGCCAATTTTAACATATGCAAACTATTCCTCGGACCGAATTTATAATGTGGGGGAAACTGGAATAACTGTGCCTACAGCAAACCGTATTTTTGCAAGAAAAGGAACAAGAACACTTAGGAGAGTTGTTTTATCTGCAAAAGGCACACTGGTTACTTTGGTTTGTGTTGTCAATGCAGTTCCACCGAGGTTCATTTTCGTACGAACTAACTACAAGGATAATTTCATTGCTGGTTCTCCTCCTGGATTTTCATGCTTAGCAAATGGATTAGGTTGGATCAAGGAAGAGAACTTTCTTGATTATATAAAACATTTTATTCAATTTACTAGTCCATCGTTAGCCAATGCAGTACTTTTGATTCTAAATAATCACATTTTACACCTTTATATTTAAGCAATTGATCGCTGTAGAGCAAATCATAACGCATTACTTTCTATACCTTCTCACTCATCACATAAACTGCAGCCACTTTAGAGAGTAAATTTGGTCCTTTTAAGACCTTTTCTAATAACAGAGTCCACGCTTGGATGAGAGAAAATGCAGGCCCAGCAATGACCATTTATGACATTCCAGCCATTGTCTGCACCACTCTCCCTCAAGTCTTTACACCCGATAAAATAATTAAATCCTTCCGATGTACTGAAATTTTGCCAATTAACAGGGACATTTCTCATGAGTGAGACTTTGCTACATCTCTGGTTTCTGAAAGACCATGGCCTGAAAATGAGAGACCATCTTCTTCATTATCAGCGACAGAACAAAGCATCTCTCAATGCGCACAGTTCTCTGATACAACTCACGCTGCACCAGTCAAGATAGCCACCGCAGGACCTACACCTTTTCCACTTGTTGCTTCAAGTTCTAAAAACTGTCTCCAGCTGGTGCTGGTGCATCAAGCGTTGAGCACGCATTTAGGCCTGAATTGCGATTACCATATCGATATGCAGATAGAAAGACGAGTACGAAAGGTCACAGAGTGCTCAAAAGTACTGCTCCCACTGATACCCTCGTAAAAAGCATGTTTTTAGGGAGGAAAAAGCAATCTGACCAAAAGAGAGATAAAGGCCAGGGGAAATTAAATAGAAAACTCTTCATGAACAGTCATAAGCGGAAAGATAGGGCAACAGCTGATGCATGTTCAGATACAAATGAAGATTTATGTCCCGTGTGCATAGAAAACACAGTAATAGTCATCCTGGTGAGATCTAGATCCAGTGCTCAACTTGTGGTCTCTGGGCTCATGAGCTATGTACAAATGTTGGAAGCCGAAACTTTCTGTTTGTTTGTCACAACTGTTATTCTG